GCTTTACAGCGCCTCTCGTCCTTCACCACCAATCTGAATGGCCGTGACTGGGCTCTTTCATCATGGTGCGTCCGACTACGTCCTTTCGCGACTGGCACCTCCATCTGTCGACCGCGCCCGAGGTCCCCCAACACCGCCGACTTACAGATGTGTTTGTGTGTGCGCTCTGCACTGGCGCCCGTCCCTCCGCGGCCTGGCCCTGCTCTAAGCCGGCCCGGCTTCCTCTCCCTCACGCCCGCGCCGGGTCTCCTTTTTCCTCTCGCGTGCCGGCTTAATTCGCGTTTTGTTGTGTGACCCACTACTGCCACAGCGCCAGGGCAGTCCCTCTGCCCAGCCGCCGACGCCAAAAGTGTGTGTGTGTGTGTGCATGTGTGTGTGTGTGTGTGCGCGTGTGCGTGTGCGTGTGCGTGTGTGTGCGTGTGTGTGTGTGTGTGTGTGTGTGCGTGTGTGTGTGTGTGTGTGTGTGTGCGTGTGTGCGTGTGGTGTGTGCCTGTGTGTGTGTGTGTGTATGTGTGCCTGTGTGTGTGCGTGTGTGCGGGGGGGGCGGGAAGCTTCCACAGCCCCCTCGCCGCAACGACTCCTCCTCCTCTCCCACTCCGGATGGGGGACTGGTGGGGACAGTGGTTGCGACGGTGGTGGGGATGGTGGTGGGGAGTGGGGGCAGTGGGGAGAGTGGGACCGTGGTGGGGACAGTGGTGGGAACAGTGGGGGCAGTGCGACAGTGGTGGGGGCACTGGCGGGGACAGTGGGTACAGTGGTGGGGACCGGGGGCAGTGGACCAGTGGCGGAGACAACGGGGACAGTTGGACAGTGGTGGGGACGGTGGTGGTGGGACAGCAGTGTGACAGTGGTGGGGACGGTGGTGGTGGGGACAGTGGTGAGGGTGGTTAGGACGGTGGTGGGACAGTGGTACAGTGGGGAGAGTGGCGGGGACAGCGGGGACAGTGGGACAGTGGTGGGGACAGTGAGGACAGTGGGGCAGCAAAGTGGGACAGCGGTGGGACAGTGGGAAGAGGGGGACAGTGGCGTGGACAGTGGGGACAGTGGGACAGTGGTGGAGACAGTTGGGACAGTGGGGAGAGTGGGATCGTGGTGGGGACAGTGGTGGGGACAGTGGGGACTGCGACAGTGGTGGGGGCAATGGTGGGGAAAGTGGGGACAGTCGTGGGAACAGTGGGGACAGTGGGACAATGGTGGGGACAGTGGGGACAGTGGGGACAGTGGTGGGGACGGTGGCGGAGGGGACATCGGTGAGGGGACATTTGGACAGTGGTGGGAACAGTGGGGACAGTGGTGGGGAAGGTGGTGGGGACAGTTGTGAGGGCGGTGGTGAGGACGGTGGTGGGACAATGCGACAGTGGTACACTGGGGAGAGTGGTGGGGACAGTGGAGACAGTGGGCCAGTGGTCGGAAGAAGTGACAGCTTTGTGGGACAGCGGTGGGGACAGTGGGACAGTGGTGGGGAGGGACAGTGGGGACAGTGGGACAGTGGTGAGTACAGTGGGGACAGTGGGGAGAATGGGACGGTGGTGGGGAAAGTTGCGGAGACAGTGGGGACAGTGCGACGGTGGTGGGGGCATTGCTGGGGACAGTGGGGACAGTGGTGGGAACAGTGGGGACAGTGGTGGGGACGGTGGTGGTGGTGACGGTGGTGAGGGCGGCGGTGGGGACCCGGGAGTCTTTTGCCGGCGGCGAGGGTGGTGGTTCGAACCGGTAGTGACCCCCGTCAGTTTTCTGGAGGTTGGTGGGGGGAGGGTGTTTCAAACCAGTGGTGACCCCCAGTTTTCCGGAGAAGGGGGGGGGGAGGGGTTGGGGGGGGGTGGGGGGGCCTGCCGGGGGAAGGAGGGGGGAGAGGAGGTGGGGGTTTCGAGCAGGGAGGGGGGGGATTTTCGGAGGGGGGGGTGCCCTGGGCTCCAGAGAAAGAGGGGGGGGGGGGAAATTTCCATAGTAAAGCGGCGGTGGATCACGCTCCCTCTTACATCTGTCACGCCGTGCACTCTCGTGGCAAGCCACAGGGGGCGGCGGATGACAAAAAGCGCGCTTCGCATGGGCTCCATGCCTACACCCTGCAGGGTGCCCCGTTTTTTTTGTTGGTTTCGATGGTCTTGCGATGGAAATCGTGGCGCTCCCAACGTCCTGGGGCCTCAGGGTTGGGCTTCTGGTGGAAGGTTTCTTGTGGGCTGGCCTCCAATGTAGTCGGAAGAGATCGGACCTGCGGGAGTGTGAGGGGGTTGGCATGTGCAGGGCCCTGGCCTCTCGTGGGGTCGCTCTCGGAAAGCCCCAGTACGGCCCAACGTAGCCAAAGAAGATGGCTCTCAGACGCCCTGCTTCGGTCCACAGGTGACGATTTCGCCAGGGACACCCTCACACAAGTGACATATCGTCGGCATCGCTCTTGCCACAAGTGGCGATGTCGCTCGGGTCATCCTCACAACAACTACAGATGTAGTCGACGTCGTCTTGGTCTCGATCTTGGCCAAACTGGCGACTTCGCAACGGATATCCTCACACAAACGAGATGTTGCCGACATCGCTCTTGCCCAACATGGCGCTTTCGCTGGGAACTTCCTCAGACAAATGAGCTATAGTCGACGTCGTATTGGTCTCGGTCTTGCCCAGCATCCTCAAATAACGAGGTGTTGTCGACATCGTCGTGGTATCGCTCTTGCTAAAAATGTCGACAACGCTGGGGACATTCTCACAGCAATGCAACGTTGTCGACCTCGTCTTGGAATCGCGCTCCAATATGGCCCGCGAGGCTGGCCAGGCGAGTTAACTCGGCCAGGCGGGTTCAAACGGCCAGGCGGGTTCAAACGGCCAGGCATGTTCAAACGGCCAGGCGGTCTAATATGGCCAGGCGGCTTCAAAAGCCAGGCGGGATAAACGGCCGAGGATGTCAGCGCGGCCAGGTGGTTGAAACGACCAGGCGGGTTGAAACGACCAGTCGGATAACCGACCAGGCGGGTGAAATCGGCCAGGCGGGTGAAAGCGGCCATGCGGGTTGAAATGGCCAGGCGGGTTAAAACACCCACGCGGGTGAAAACGGCCAGGCGGATTCAAAGGGTCAGGCGAGTTCAAACGGCCAGGCGAATTTAAGCGGCAAAGCGATGTAAACTGGCCAGGCGAGTCAAAAGGACCAGGCGGCTTCAAACGGCCAGGCGGGTTACAACGGCCCAACGGGTTAAAATCGACCAGGCGGGTTCAAACTGCCAAGGATGTCAACGCGGCCAGGCGGGTTCAAATTTTCATTCCGATGAAAGCAGTCACGCGGTCGTAATGGCTATGCGGCTTGAATCGGACATACGGGTCAACACGGCCAGGCGGGTTCAAAGGCCCAGGCGGGTTGAAATGGCCAGGTGAGTTAAAATGGTACCGCCGTGAACATCATTAAACAAATGATCAATATCCCTCTCCGCATGTTTAGAATCATCGTTTCGCAATCTCTCTTGAAGGGCCCACGGAAGACTCAAAAGGGCCCGAAGACAGCCCGAGAGCTTCCCAAGATGGCCCAAGAGTGCCCCGAAGCTCCCGCGGATGCGACAAGGGCGAGGGGAAGAGAGGGTGTGAGAGGAGTAAGAACGGACAAGCCAGCGATCTCGCGCCGACACAACGTAAGTTGCGCTTTCCATCCCCGTGCCAAGCAGGTCGATGATGATGATGATGATGATGATGATGCTGATGCTGATGCTGATGCTGATGCTGATGCTGATGCTGATGCTGATGCTGATGCTGATGATGCTGATGATGATGATGATGATGATGATGCTGCAGTTCATGATCATGATGATGATGATGATGATGATGATGATGATGATGATGATGATGATGATGGATGATGATGATGATGATGATGATGATGATGATGATGATGATGATGATGATGATGATGATGATGATGATGATGATGATGATGATGATGATGATGACCATAATGATGATGCTGATGATGATGATGATGATGATGATGATGATGATGATGCTGATCATCATCATCATCATCATCATCATCATCATCATCAGCAGCAGCAGCATCAACGTGGCCTTCGGCATATCCCGCTGCCGTGCCCGGGTTGTCAGTGTGCGTCGGCACCCTGGGGGCGACGCGTCGGTGGCTGGCGTTTTCCAGCCATACCGCTCGGGTGACGATGTCGCCCGTATGCTTGTGGAAGTCGATCCATGGAGAGGAAGGGTGCTGCCAAAACCTTTCCGGATTGCAAAACATGTTTGAGGGATTGCGAGGGTGTCCATTGTCATGGCATCCACAACCGTCTGCCTGTGCTGCATTCTCCGGTTCGGACGCGGGCCTCCCAGGGGGGTCGCACAGTACTAGTACAGTGGGGGCGCCCATCAAGAAACCATCTGAGTTTCGCCAGGGTGCCCTGGGTTTCTTCTCTCCTCGCGCTGCGCGGTGACTTCCCGCAGCCGTCGAAGGAGCTGCTGCGTTCCGGGTGCTCCAGGTTTCCCCTCAGGTGCACCTCGCGCACGGGTTCTCAGGATTGGGTTTCTTGCGAGGGCTTCCTGCGGCCGCGCCCACACTGTACGTCCTTCGGCGCCCCAGCAACGTCCGCGACGTCGTCGCAGGGGGGGGGGGGCCCTGGAGCCGCTCGCCGCCCGGAGGCTCCCCGGGAGCCCTCCTTGGGGAGCCCCGGAGGGCTTCCTTCGGGCCGCCTTGGAGGCCTCCTGGGGCCATCCTGGGGCTCTCTTGGGGCCCTCGTCTGCCGCCGTGGAGGCATCTGTGGACCGTCTGGGCGGCCACTGCAGCCGCGCCGTCTTGAGCCGACTACGCGTCAGAGCGACCTTTCGCCGGAGTGACCTTTGGCGCGGGCTTATCGGGCCCCCCCCGATCGCCGAGCGCGATGCGATATAAGCGGCCCGCGCCCTTGGGTTTGGCCCCCTCGCGCCCCCCAAAGCTGCGCACCAGAGGTCACTCTTACCCAGGGTCACTCTTTCGCCTAGCCGTCTTGAGCCGCTTGCCGCCGCCCCGCCTCCCGCGCCCGAAGCCGTCACGCCAGCCGGCCGCAGCGGCGGGCCGCGGGGTTGCGCCACGATGGCAGGCGCCGGCCCCGCCGCGAAGGCGGGCGGCCGCCCTGTGCCGCCCTATGCCGCTCCCTGAGACCCCTTGCTCACGCAGTGGCGAAGCGTCCTGGCTCGCCTATAGCCCTACCAAAACATGTTCTAAGAACCCTTTGTGGTTCCCACGAAATGTTCTTAGAACATGTCTGGCGGAGTCTGTATTGTTTTGCACATAAGGCTTAAGTTCTAAGAACACTGTTCTGGTTCTTAGAACATTTTTGGGTTCTAAGAGCATGTCGTGGTAGGACTATATAAATGCCGGACGGTCGGTCCCTGCTCAATTTGCAAACCTTCCTGAAGTCCTGCTTCCCCCTCCTGCTTCTCAGGGACGAGGAGGGCGAGGGGGACGTGCAGTGGAGTGCGGATGAAGGAGGAGGGAGACGAGACGAGGGGATGGGGAGGAGAGAGGAGAGGGGCGTGCTTCAAGCTCTAGGTGCGTTCGCGCCGCAGTTGACATCCTGTCCCTCCCTCCCATCCCTTTCCATTGCGCTGGCTTTTCTCTACGACGCGTGTCGTAGCCGACCTGCAACTCCAGCCTGAAGACCACATCGTGTTATACGCAATCGGAAGACATGGGAGCTGCGTGCATATGAGGTGGAGGAGGACGAGGAGGAGGAGGAGGAGGAAGTCGTGGGTGAGTAGTAGGATGATCGGGAGGAAAAGGACGAGGACGAACAGCAGCAGCAGGAGCAGGAGTGGAACGAGCGGGAGCAACAGGAGGACCAGGGGAAGGCGGAGGAAGGGAAATGAGGGGGGGCGACATCATTGAAGACAGACTCGGATCCAGAAAAGTGGCCTGCGCTCGGGCGTGAGTGCCATTCCGAACGACGGGAGCAAAGCGCCGATCCGAAAGCGAGGCCCACGTTGCAGCGGTAGCACCATGTTGAAACACCGACTGGTTTGTAAAAGACCGTAAGAACTATCAAGCCGTTTTTCTTATATCTATATATATATATATATATATATATATATATATTTATACACTCTAGAAAGCAGCACGCGGAGAGGGCCCAGTATTTTCCGGATGGAGTTATGGTGAAAGAGGAGAGTCGTATCCTTATTGCTCAATTGTTGAGGTTGTAGGGGCTGGGGGAGGCTGTGGAGAGGTTCTCGGGGGTCCTTCCTGCTCCCCCCGTCCCTCGTTCCTCCTTCCGTTCTCCTTCCCACCTTCCTGCTCCCGCTCTCGTGCCGACTTGCCCTTGTGGCCGACCACCATTGCCGCCCCCCCTTGTGCCGCGGCCGAGCGGCCGCGGCGACTCCCGCGACGAGTCCCGCCGAAGAGGGCGCAGGCTACGCCCGTGTCCTCCCTCCTCCTCCTCCTCCTCCTCCTCCTCCTCCTCCATTACATTCCCATCTGCATAATCTTTCCCTGTCGCACCCCGAGGCCAGTTTTTTACGGCGGGCCAGGCGTTTCGCCTGAGACCTCCTCACCATTTATGACCCTGAAACTTACAAAGTGACAACAGCTTCGCAGATGGAGGGCGGGTCGTTTTCAAAATGTGACTCTCGCCTTAGTGCCGCGCATATTCGTTCAAAAAGTGCAAAAGCTTCACGGATGGAGGGCGGGTCGTTTTCAACATGTGGTTCTCGCCTTAGCGCCGCGCGCATTCGTTTAACACTTTGCAGAAGGTTTACGGGTTGAAGGCGGATGGTTTTCAACATGTGGCTCTCGCCTTAGCGCCGCGCGCAGTCGTTTTAAACCATTGCAATAATTTCGCGGATGGGTGGCGGGTCGTTTTCAAAATGCGGCTCTCGCCTGAGCGCCGCGCGCGTTCGTTTTAAACGTGTGCACGAGCTTCACGGATGGAGGGCGGGTCGTTTTCAAAATGTGGCTCTCGTCTCAGCGCCGCGTTCATTCGTTGTAAAAAGTTGCAAGCATGTGGCTCTCGCCTTAGCGCCGCGCGCATTCGTTTGTATTTTTTTGCAAGAGCTTCACGGATTCCAATGGTCAGCGTACCAGGATTTGTGTTGTGGAAGGTGTCAGGATTATGAGGGCGCAACAGTTACGTTGATTTGCGGTGTTGAAATCCTAATAGCAGCGCTCTGGCACGATTAAGAACGTCAAGGCGCAGGTGACCTGTGGCGTTGGACTCCTGCGAACGCTGTTTTCGCTTGCTTCAGGGTCTTCAAACGGTTGTCTTCCAACGAGGCAGTTCCCTCAATGGAAATGAACTGTTGTAGAGACCTGTGAAGAGAGAGCTTGGAGGGAGGGCTGATTCCAACATCGTTGGTGACTCTTGGGTTTCTTGGGGTCCTCCTCCTCCTCCTCCTCCTCCTCCTCCTCCTCCTCCTCCTCCTCCTCCTCCTCCTCCTCCTCCTCCTCCTCCTCCCCCCCCCCCGGAAAATTAAAAGTTCCGCGAGAGAGCCTGGAATGGCTGGGTGGTGCTCCTCCCTCGCCGCCGATCACACGGGGTTGTGACCGGGGATTCGGGGTCACCGCACGGTTTTGGGACCCAGGCCGTTCTCCGAGGACGTCTCGGGCGACTGGGGCCTCCAGGGTCCCCGAATCGTGTGGTTACTGACCCTGCGGTGAGGTCTTTGCGGATTTCGAGGTCGCCGCCGGGTCTGTCACCACGAAGGCCACCCGAGGCCGGTCCAGCCGCGCACGCGGGCCGAGTGCGGATGCGAGGGGCGCCCCATGGTGCACCAGGCTGGACTGGGGAAGCGCGTGGCCCACGCAAAGGTTCACCGAGAACCCTCCTGGCTCCTCCACCCTCCCGCCTCCTCTTCTCGCTCTCGTGTGCTCAGTTCCTCCTTTCTCCTCCTCCTCCTCCTCCTCCTCCTCCTCCTCCTCCTCCTCCTCCTCCTCAGTGTCCTTGCCCGCTCCCCTCCCGCTGGGACTCCAGAGCATCTAGGCCGATGGCGCCTGCTTGTGCAAGTGGAAGTTCGAAACCATCTTCACGAAGGCCAGGATCTCCAGCTCGAGGATCTAGTCTCCACTGCCAGACTATATCCAAAGCCGCCGCTTCGGGCTCGTATCCTGGGATTTCGGCGGAGAGGGTGGACATGGATAGGTGTCCACCCTTGACGGCGGGAACGCATCCAGCTACCTGCAGCAAGCCCCACCGCCGCGGCGCTGCAGCAGAACAACAGGAATGATGTTGAGTTTACGGCTCGTTCCAGTTGCGCCAGCCCCTCCTTGTCCGCAGACCTCGTTTTCTCCCCCCTCTTTCATCTCGGGGGCTTCTTCGGAGTTTCTTTTAGATTCTGTTGTGAGGTCCAGGATGTCAATTGGGGGGTTCCTCGGGGGTCAGTGCTTGTGCTTCGGATTTCTTCTTTGTGTTTTCAGAAACTGGGCCTAGCTGCCGATTTGCCTGCTCGGTGCTCGCCATCGCCGCCCCGTCGACGCCTCGTCGCCACCCGTCCGTGCTCGCCGTCGCCGCCCTGTCGCCTCGTCGTCCCCGCGAGATGGACGGCGCCATACTGATTCTCCAATCTAGAAGAAAGATAGCCCCCTGGACTTATCGAGTTCCCCTGGGGATGTGCAATTTACATTGATTCTGCACCATCACCCATCATACATATGAGTTCGTACCATCCCAAGCATGCTGGTATCCCCCCCAATCCTTTGCAAGAGGTTAATGCGCGCACACTCGTGAATCAAACATCATCAGCTTACAAAAATCCTGTTGCAAACACCGTGACGAAGTGTACACGCGCGCGCCGTTGCGCGGGCATGCAGAATTCTTTCAAAACCGCAGGACTCGTAGGGATTTCAAAAGTAAGTTTCCCGAACACATATAAGACACACATGGTTTCGCAACAAGGATTGTCAAACATAGCCTGCGCCCGTGCACAGTTCCATTTTTCAATAAAAACTCAGGTTCTTCAATATTTCTGCTACCAAGCAGGCCTCTCGAGAGCGTGTCGAAATCGTTCGAACGTTTTTGCGCGCGTGCTGTCGCAGTTATCTTCCACGGACGAATGGGACGAAGTGCGCGCGCGCGTCGTCGCGCGCGCATGCCGGAATCTTTCAAACAAGTAGGGTTTCGTACGGGTTCCAAAAACGAGTGTCCCGAAACAGTATAACATCGGTCCGCGTCAATTGCTGCCATGCGGGTCACTCGCGCGCACCGCCCGCGCGCTCATGTCGAACTCATTCCAAGACCTCGTCATCATTGTCATGACCTCCTTCGCGACCTCCAAGGTGTCGCCGCCGACGCGAGGACGTCGTCATGGTTGTCGGCGGGCGTGATCAATGTCGGCGCCGTCATCGGCCTTGTCGTCGCCATCGTCACCATCGCCACCATCATCGCTACTCGCATCATCGTGTTTACCGTTGTCGACGTTGCCATGGTCGCGCTCGCCCAAATCACCGACTCGCACTGAAGTGCCCGCTTGGACGGTCGCGCCGCAGTAGCTGGCCGCTGCGCGCTCGAGCATGCGCGGGCTAGCGCTGTTGCAGAGTTGCACCAGCCAGCGCCAAGCACTCATCGCAATCGCCGTCGCATGGGTTCTGCAAACCAAGCGGCGGGCGGGCTGGTGGGGTGATTGCGCGGGCAATAAAGTTGACGACTCGCTGCGAGCATTTGTGAATTCTCTTTTCTAAAAGAATAGTCGGATTTCGTGCGCCCCTCCCGGGCATTGACGGTTGCCTGCGCGTGATTTTGGCCCATCGCCCATCCAAACCATGAATTCGCGCCACCCCTTGCAGGCTGGCATCGCCCCCCCCGCCCGCGTCCTCTGCGACGAAAGTTATGCGCGCGCAGTCGTCGACATTCATCAGTTTTCCTTTCGAAACACTTGCGACGCATGGGGCGCAGCGCGCGCGTCGTCGCGAGCGCCTGCCTGCATCATTGCTAACGTTTCGCAAGGATTTCAAACGTTGATTGCCCCGAAAACATTCACCACATGTGGTTTTGAATTGAAAATGTTCAAAAATAGCTTGCGCTCGCGCTCTGCCAGATTATTAAAGAGAACATCGGCTCTCAACGTCCTCATGGCGCGCTACCAAACGGGCCTCTCGCGCGCGCGTGCGCTCGCGCGCTCGCGTTTCTGCGA